TCTGAAATTGCTATTTTTGAGCTCTAAAATCTTATTTTTGATACCAATTGATTATGATTATTATAAAAATGATTTTTCACAACAAAAATGATGTTTTTAACAAATTAAAACATTATGTGATGCATGACGGTAAGTTTGGGTGTTAACACTCGAGACTAGGCCGCTAATTGTTATTAAATGTTATGTTGAATGATCATTATGATGAACTATTATTGTGGCCAATTATGAATGATTAACCTACTGATTGGTATGATTATTGATTAAATCATGATTAAAAATGGATATAATGATGATTATGAAAATGATGTATATTGTTAAGGATATCTATAAGAACTTTAAGATATACCCACTTGTATAATGATGATGATTATTAAGAATATCTAGAAGAACTCTAAGATATACCTCATTGACCAATTCATATTTCGGGGTTAAAACGTACGTACAGGATCCAGAACAGATATCACCCACCCGGCAGTTCACTGTTCGGTTGGTACGTAATCCACATGACTCATAGGGTGGATTATCGATTCTTGTGTTCTGCATTAAATTATTTATAGTTTAAGGGCCTGGTTAGAAATGTTGCCTTAGACTAGGAATAGTTAAGAGTTGTTATGAAATGATTTGGCCTTAGATTAAGAATAATTTAAGAGCATTGTTGAGATATTGAATATCAAATGACTTGGAATAAAATATTGAGAATATCATGAATCGAGATTCAATTATATATTGAATCTAGATGAATCATGAATCGAGATTCAATTTATTATGTTTGAATTATATATTGTGTGCATGATATCAAATGGTTGATTATAAATCGAGATTCAATTTATGTGGATGTTCGACGCTTTAGATATGCTTACTCAGCTTCACCGCTGAGCGTGTAGTGTGTTTTATTTGCTACACGCAGGTAAACAGAAAGATTAATGTGATCCTGGCGGCAGATGGGGCGAGATTGTCGGGATGGATGTGACAAGTTTTGAAATGATTTATGATATGTCAATATTAAATTCGCTTCCGCAATATTGTTAAATACTCTGTACTATATATGTTATGAAAAATATTATTGAGATTAATAAAGTGTGTTTGAAAAGTTTTAAATTCTACGATTACCAAGTTAAATACTTTAGTCCGAATGGGGCTGTAGACCTAGACGGATTAGGGTGTTACAATACAAGATACATAAATTGAAAACACATGAAGTAAATTAAAGGAAAAAAAATACACATAAAACTATTATTTTGAATATCGATTTATCCAAATGTGCTCTACTAAATCCACTCTAAGGTTATGGTACGTTTCTCTACTACGGATTTGGGCGTGTCTTGCAATTCATTCATCTTCAGTGACCTCTTTAATGTTGTTGTCGTCCGAATCGTAGTCTGCACAAATAGCTAGCTAATTCCATGTCTTTTAAATTCATATTGTGTAAAATAATACACGCATACATGGAGTTTGATATTTTTTTTCTTTCTCCCACATTCTTGTGGGATTAGCTGTTAGCCTTGGTTTGCGAAGCCTCATGTTTTGATGTTAACAAACAATATAAGAACTAACGGTTGTTTAAGTGTTTCAGGTACAACAAGAATCCATTAAGATTTAGTTCTCAAGAATGAAGTCGAAACATTAAACTAACGTAGAGTATAGGTAGAAATGATGTAAGGATATGACTTTATACACATATATTCACAAGCTCAAAAGCACTCCCAAAATATGTTTAAAACCTTCTTATAATCATTTTTAAACATCCAAATGGTTTTAAATAAAATTAGAAATGATTTGGACAAAAATATAAAAAAATCATCAAAACAGTCAAAAGGTACCATATGCCGTAACAGGTACTGTAAGGGGTACTGTGAGCCAATCTGAGAAGGTACCCCCTACCGTCAGGTCGGGACCTCCCTACCGTATGGGGTACCGTGAGTTAACGTACCCCCTAGTCCCCTACCGTAACCCATATGTAGGTACCGACCGTAAAATTGGAGATC